AATTTTATTTAACTTTTGAACAATGAAACCAAAGATTGATTTGATAACTGTTACATGTTTAAATTTACTGAATACAAAAAGTCAAGTGCTATAAAACATTTGATTTAAGGTTAACCAATACATATAAATATTATTTTTATTTTCTTTTTTCTTTTACATGTCTTTTCGAAGCCAAAATATCTTGGGAGCCCGTTTTGTTAGCTAGAATTTTAGTGGGATTACGGCCACGGCTTTCTGGGACCACAATTTAACCGCTTTCATCAGCCTTTAATTGCGCTTCTCTCTCTGTCTCTCTCTCTTTTAAAGGGATTAAGAAGACTTTTCTTCCTAATGTAATAGATTGTATATATTGTCTGTTGAATGCTTTACAGACCCACTAATGTTCTGTATATAATTATGGACTCTGCTAATTTCAAGGAGGGGGAAGAACAATTGACAAATGAACACTACTAGCATAACATTTACACAAATACACAATTAAAATTTTTTAATTTGTTAATTTTTACTATGATTATTAATTTTATTGCCTCATAATATAGTTCTTTATAAAAATAAATATATCTGATAATAAATAATTTAGCTCTATTAAACTAGTGAAACTTATAAAATAAGAGTCAGTTATCTTCGCTAAGTGTGGGGTCTGCACTTCAAGCCCCTTTACTTTTTTACTATTTAATTACTTTATTTTTTTTACGAATTTTAAAGTTATTTATCTTTTCAGTGTTATATTAAAAAAAAAAAACTAACAATATTATTGTCACGTTTTTGTGTGTTATATTCGTACAAAAATTTGCCTTAGGAAAGACAAAATCTATTGTTCACCTGATGAAATGACCTACTGTGATCCATTTCGATTTGAAAAAATTAAGTCAAGTTACATTAATTTTTGGTTAAATTATTTTGGATCCAGTTAATTTTGACTGTAGGAATACAAACTTTATCTAAACTTAACTTGTTTACGTATAATTTTTTTAATTGAATTTATATATTATATTTACACACACACGCATATATATATATATATATGTAAACTGAATTTGAATCGAGTTTTACCAGAAATCCAGTAAGACTGAAACAAAAAATGATGAATTTACTCCAATTTAAGGCATTTTTGAATTTTATATATTTAAAATTGGATCAAAATTAGAATTTTATGAAACTTATTCGGGCAGGCTATTTGCACTAAATATATATTAATTGACTTTAAATTTTAGGGAATTGAAAATTCAAGCCCTTTTTATGCAATGTTTATAAAGTCATTGTTGCTTGCACTATTTTTTTTTTTATAAATGGTATTTGGGAATCAGAATAAAGATTTTAGTAATGATTATTGCATACCTTTTTCTTTTCTTTCCTGGTATTTATTATTATTATTATTATTATCATTATTATTTAGGTTAAATGAAATAGATTAATTATTTTTGTTAAGTTCATTAAAATTAATATTTACTTATTATATAATTTTCAAATTCGGTAGAAAATAAAATAATAATAAAATATTTAGTTGCTATGAATTTTAAAAATAATAATGAAATTAAATAATTTTGAAATTTTAAGTATTAATTTATTTTTTAAAAAACGGTATCTAACTATAATTTTCTTAATATTATCTGAAAACGCGTTACTGTGTTCACTAGAAAGAAAGCGGTAACTGTACCAACTCACACTCGTAGATCTAGTCTAAGGGATGCTAAATTACTCGCCATGATCTTCTAGAAGAAGAAAACGGAAATGTTGACGGTAGTATTGGAGACTTGGACCATTTGACATGGTCTATTTAAGTCTTAAGACTAACGCTAACGAGCCCCCAATCCAAATCCAGAAAAAAGCTTAAATCAACTACAGTCTAATTACCGAGATTAGCGTTAGCAGTCAGTTAAAGTCCATGCGATTAGTTCATCACTATGAAAATGCAGCTAAATTATATGTAAATCTGAACTGAATTGTGTATTTGTAAATTTGAAAGAAGACTTACCTGTAACTCGGTGGTGACAGGATACTCATCCATGTCAACGTAGTTCTTGTTAATAGAGGCCATCATGAGCTTATCGCACTCCGGTTCCATCCATGTCGTCACAAATGACGCCAGGTTCAACCTCGGATTTCCGTCCAACATCAGCTCGTCGTTTATGATCTGGTACGCAGCTTCTTTCGGGATCGAGTTCTCCGGCATCTTGAATCTGAACAGATCAACTCACTCATTTACTCATCACTTCATCAAATCCAACCTTAATTTAACTAACGACTGTAATTAATCCAGATCGGAGATTGATTAAGAGATAGAATTAGTCAAACATGACTTTGAGGAGGGTGAAGGTTACCTCGGAAGTGAAGTTCGAACATATCGGGAGGCGAAAGTGGAGTGGAGAGACAGATCAGCTTCAGAAGCAGTCTTGGAGAGAACCATGGTGGCTGCCTGAGATTTGAAAACCAAGACGAAAGAGAGAGGACTTTTATTGAACGACGAAGATTGGAAGATTAATAGACCTTGGCGTGGTTTATATAGGGGAAAGAAAAGGTTGTGTGGCTGTTTCTAGAATTAAATATTAATTTTGTTCTTGAGGTTAATAAGCTACTAATTATTAATTAATTAAGTTAATAATTAATTATTATTATTATTTAATGTAGTATTATGTTCTTGATCCATAACTAGACGGATGATTCCTCCGCTCTGGCCCTAAATGCTACCGTCCTTCCATGGCACGGCCATCATTACATTTTTGGCTACCATTTTTTAAATATAGTTTTTAGAATAATTATTATTTTTTAATTATCATCATTCATCTATTAAGTAAATTAATAGATCCTATAAATTTATTCTTAGTAAAAAAAAAAATTTAACAAAAATTATAATTAATTAAAATAATTTAAGAATTTTAAGCCCATCTATACTTATAAAATCTCAATTAGTTTAAATGACAATGATCTAATTTTCTTTACTTTTTTTTACAGATTAATTATAGATATACAATTGTTAATTCTAAATATAATTTGAATTAAATATAATATATTTAAATACTTTAAATATCAAAACAAATTTAAAGTAAATATAACAAATCTTACTTTAAATACACCATTAATATAAAATATTTTTTAAAGTTAAACCGGCAAACATGATTATGCTATATTATATTTACTTTTGTGCAGGGGTAATTGGTAAAAACTGTTTCTCTTTATTACGTCTAATAATTTAAATTTGTACTTTTCATGAACATTTAAATTGTACTAAGTGCACCATATAATAATCTTATATCAAGTAATATTCCTTTATAAAACAAAAGTAAATTTAAATAATCTGGCCCGACAATGAATTTGCTTATTACGTGATCTAAAAATTACTCAATTCAATTTTAATATCATCAACAATATAGTACTAAGTAAAACGAGTTATTATTTCTATCATGTAGAGTAGAACATCGATAGTTTGTCCTTTGTTACTTTTTAAAATTATTTTTTTAACCTAAACTCGTCTTGTATTTATCAATTTATAAGTAGAATTAAATAATTTATGTAATTAACTGAATTTATTCTTAAGATATGCATTTTTTATTATTACAATTCCGATAAAAAAATGACCTTCGTGTTAGAATATTACACAGTTAATTTACCTAATTTATTTTTAGTGTTCTTTATTGTTTATGTTTTAATTATTATGTAAAATTCTGATATATATATATTTTTGGATAAAAGAACAAATAAATACATACAGCAGCACAGAATTTGAAATATTTTTATTTACTAAATGAAATTTAATTTTTTAATAAAAAAGAAATCTTAAAGTACATATCCCATAGTAAAAGTATATGTACGTATTTTTCTGTGCAAACATTGGATAAAATAATATAACAAATGACTTTATAGCTGTCCGCAATTATTATTATTATTATTATTATTATTATTCTCTTAATACATTGTTAATTAATACATTAACTAACTAACAGATGTGATAATTGAATAAAACAACAAAAAATTTTATATACCCGTTCAATCATTTTACTTTTATTCAATACTGCTGGAATAATTATTAAATTAGTCATACAAATTACCACTTATTATAATTTAATTTTTAAATTTGGACCATAAATTTTTTTTTTTAAATTTTTTTTATTAAAAATAAGGATTATTAATTTAATTAAAATATTTTTTGCATTATTTTTAAGAGTAAAATATGAATTAAATCATAATAAAAAAATTTTGATTTTATTTATTATCTAAAATTATTAGGAGCACACATTTAAAACATGAGAAAAACAAAGAGTGGGTATCCCAACAAATAAGTGCAAAATACTGGGTATTTCCCATACTAATCTAGCGGTCAATATTCCGTTGGTCGAGGCATTCTTGTCCATTTGCTCATAATTTATATTAATTTTTACACACATGAACGATATATTTATAAATATTAAAACGTTACATTCGAGGTCTAATCCAAATGGTTAAATATATTTACCAAGATCTACTTTAATTATAATTATATATTTTTTTAAAAAACACTGTTTATTTATTTATTTACCAAGAAATAACGTTAAATGAAGTTTGAAAATATCAAAACTTATAAATGATGAATTTCAACCTTGGTGGTCCAGCATTTCCACCAAAAATAATAATAATAATAATAAGCACATAACGACAAAAGCAAATTAATAAAAAAGTCAAGCCATCCATTTTAATATTTTAATATTAAAGTATTAAAATATTAAATTTAATATTTTAATATTGCAAAAAAAAAAAAAAGGTATTTAAAAAGTTTATTTGAAATTTCAAATAATATTTATGTCTCCTGCAAGAAAAAAATGACTCCCATTCTTCACAAATCTGCAGGAGAAAATCAAAATCAAACACCAAATCAATAGTTGTTTTAACCTAATATATACACATCACGCATACATACACACGACTGCACACACGTGTGTGCAACTCTCGGTTCCGTTTTCAGGCCTGGGTTTGATCAGCCCAGTATCTTTGATATATATATATATATGCCTTGCAATTTCCAACAGTAATTTTTATATATTTTTTTTTGAAATAAAATACATTTCGAAATGTAACACTTTACGATTTAAAATGTAAATAAAGGTAAAATGCAAGGTGAATTTGGAATAAACCCAAAATTTTTAGTATTGACTAATTAAATTAAGGACTTAGAGCCATTGTAAACAAAAGTGAGACCATAAAGAATTGTAACTTTTTATGCGGGTCATTTTTTTAATCGGATTCGACCCGAGCAGAATTCTTATATAGTTAATTATTACTATGCCTATACGCCATCGAGAGGGTACTTTTAAATCATATTATTTGAAAACTTTTGCAACCATACCACTGATTAAAACATTCAATCGTCAAGAATTGCTTTCTGGTTCTTTTTCGGAGTAAGATAAAATCGTCCTCCCTCTTCCAACGAAAGCTTTCATTCGTTTTATATGACAGCTAAATATCATGAACTTAAAATCTCTACTTAAATCAAATAGAATTATGAACATAAAAATCTCTTTTCAAATCAAATAATAATTAGATATAACAAAAACCTACCAAATAATCATAATCTTTTTTATGAGAGCACTATTAAAAAAAGAATACTTAGGTTGCTAAAGGTGCGATCTTAGTATTGAATTCCTTATACTTGTTGAAAGCTTGCATGACTTCAAATAGAGTAACAGCTCGAGCTAGGAACTCTTTGTTATCCCAAAAGAGCACTTTGAGCGTAAGATACATAGATGAACATATCACACCGACACAGAAGAGGATAATCTATATATAACAAGCCTATCGTAGGAAAGTTGGCAAGTTTTGAGGATTTGGTTTGCTTGTGACAAGTGTGTGAGCTTTTATCCCTGCTACAATGATCAGTTCGTTTATCTGACGAATCATACGTGTTATGAACCCAGAACTAAAGCAGAAATTGTGTTATGTTCTTATTGAAGATATTGTTGTTTAAATAGAATATTGTTGGATAATATTGAAGCTAGAAAACAGTATGAGATATGTGCAGAATAGATTAAGATAAATATGTTGGAGTTATTGAGATAAAGATGAAGTCTTGAGGAGATAGTCAACCTAGAGGAGATAGCATCGCAGATGTGAGCTAGTACAGATGTGTGTTGGAGAGAAAATAGCAGATGAGGTTGATTTGGAGATGATTTCGAATGGATATCCTTAATATCCCTCCAGCAAGCCCATCCTTCAAGGATTGTAGGCGAAGTTTATCTCTAATGAATAAAAATCGATTTCGAAGGAGGGGCTTGGTGAAGAAATCTGCAATTTGATCTTTAGTTGTCAGAAAATGAACAAAAAGATTGTCCTTTACTCCCTGTTCTCGGAAAAAATGATAATCAAGTTCAATGTGCTTAGTGCGAGCATGACGGACAAAATTTGTAGATAGGTAGATGACACCAATATTGTCGCACCATAAGGTTGATTTGTTTGGGGAGGGAAATTCTAGTTCACGCATCAGACTCTGAAGCCACATAAACTCAAAAATGGCATTAACAATAGCTTTGTATTCACTTTCAGTGGAAGAACGAGCTATTGTCAATTGTTTCTTAGCAACTCAAGATATAAGATTTTTGCTAAAATAAAATGCATATCCACAGGTAGAACGTCGATCATCCGGGCACCCGCCCCAATCACTGTTATTGAAGCAGTGGAAATCAAGGGATGTATCACGAGAGAGAAGTAAACTAAGGGAGGCTGTGTACTTGAGATATCGTAGGACTCGTTTAATGGCTTTCAAGTGTATATCTGTTGGAACATGCATAAACTAGCATAATTTATTAACCAAGTAGCTAATGTCTGGCCTGGTGATGGTTACATATTGAAGGGCCCCAACTACCTGACGATACATAGAGTCATCCAAAAGCAGAGTACCCATAGATTTAGATATTATAAGAGAGCCACTCATTGGTGTTGGACACGATTTTGCATCTTCAAGGCCTGTTCTTGAGAGGAGATCATGTATATATTTGGTTTGAGTGAGGTGCAGCCCATTATGCTCATAGTTAATATAACGACCCAAAAATCCAAAAGAAAATATATAATAATTTATGTACAGAAGCGAAATAAAAAGTTAAGATTTATATCTCTTACACAATAACTTAAAAGTATTAAACAAACATTACGAAATGAATTCTCTGAAAGAAACACGAGAAATGAGAAAAGTAAAAAAAATTATAAAGTATCTAACATCTACTCGCAGTCTTCATGCGGATCGGGCTCGGGAACCAGATTCTCTTGATCTGAAATGATTAAATAAGAGGTGAGATACACTAGTCCAGTAAGGACATCACATTATATCACCGGCACAGAAGTAAAGGTTGGTAGAAAATCAAAACAACCAATGGAGCATTTAATTAAACAATTGCATTTATTAATAACAAAACTATTTACTGTCCACTTAACGTAGCGAGATATTTATGAAAACAACCTATAAAGATAATAACATCATGCAAATCATAACTTCATGCAAATCATAACTTCATGCACAATCAATAACA